ATAGGACACCTCATCATTAATTAGTGGGATTAGTGAATTGTTGAATACATAAGGCACCTCATCATTAATTAATGGGATTAGAGAATTGTAGAATACATAAGGCACCTCATCATTAATTAATGGGATTAGAAAATTGTAGGATACATAAGGCACCTCATCATTAATTAATGGGATTAGAAAATTGTAGAATACATAGGACACCTCATCATTAATTAGTGGGATTAGTAAATTGTAGGATACATAAGGCACTTCATCATTAATTAGTGGGATTAGTGAATTCTAACATTAAAGATATTTTTATTTAAATTTTTTGTGTTACTCATCACCCATGTAATTATGGATTGGACTTTGTAACTAAGAAAGTCACAGACTCGTAAAGAATGTGGTTCATAAATAATTTAGAAATATGTGTTCAGTCGGTAATACTAGTGTTAAAATGTCCAAACATTTTATGAATGTTACCTCTAAATTCTGGATGAAGAATTTTAGCTAGATTTTTAGAAGCCTGTGAAAAATTAATTAATGTTTTAATGTAATAGGCTGTTTTGTGTGTTTTTATGTGTTAAACTTGCACATTAGAAGAAGAAATTATTCCCTATGAATATTAAAGTCTAATAAATAGAACTTTGTTGTTTTGTGGGAACAATTGTAATTTATTTACCTGTGGTTGTATGATCATGACTGAAAAAAGATGCTGTTGTTCAACTCATGCTTTATGCAAAATTGAGGGGAAATAGAGCATGTAATTTAACTAATTGAGTATTGTGACAAGAATATCGATGGCCTCTGCAGGCAACAGTTTAATCAATCTGAAACAACACTATCTGTTCATGTCTCCTACAAACATAAACCATCACCATTCTTGCAAAATTTAAATTTGTATAAACAATAATAATTTTTCTTTGAAGATTAGTACTTTCACATTTAAACAATAAAAGATTATTCAAGAGAATGAACCAGAAACAACTGTCTCTTAACAAAAAGTTTAACATAATATTAAAGCAACTTACCAATCATTTTGGGCAAATCTAAGTTTAGGTTATTCATGATGCTCACAAACTCAGTCTTTGTCTTGGTGAGCCTTGGATTAAACTTTTTTTCCTCCATGACTGTAGTCACTGTTTGTCCTAGAGATAACTTCTGGTTTAAATTAATAGTTACATTATAGGTAAATAGAAATTATTAGATTATCAATATTAACATAGTGATTTGCAGCAATGAAAAATGTTAATAAATTAGATTTCTTAACAGGAAACTTTGGGCTCAGTGAGCTGCTGCAATAGAAAATTTTAATCCATCAGACTTCTTAACATGATAAAGTATTTCCAAAGACCTGCAGCAATGAAAATTATTGATTTCACAGCATTCCAGTAAGTCTTATAGATTTTTGAGAACATCCCATCAAAAAACACCAACATTCTATAAAAGAACAACAAGGGAACTTTTGGTCCATCTAGGCTGTCCTATCCACTAACTAAACAAAACATAAAAAAAACTCAAGTCAGCCCTTATCATTCAAATATTTATCAAGCTTTCTCTTTAACTCCCCTAACTTAAATGCATCTACCACATCTTAAAGCAACCCATTTCAAAGGCCAAACATCCTTTTAGGAAAATAAAGCTATCTTAGCTGAAGGTGATTCTTACCCTGACAGAATTTTATATTTGTGGCCCCTTGTCTTACTACTCTCACCATTAAATATGAAAAAAGATGATGCATCACATTACCAATTCTCTTAATTTTATAAACCTATCACCTTTTTCTTTTCAAGAGAAAAAGTTCAAAGATTGTAACCTATCCTTGTATAACAACCTTTCCATTCAAGGTATCATCCTAGTAGCCTTCCTCTGAACCCTTTCCAACAATCAAGTGTCCTTTCTAAGGTAAGGAGCCCAAGACAGAACAAAGTACTCCAAATGTGGCCTAACCAATGATTTTATACAATGAAATTATAACTTGTATTTAGTATTTCTGTAGCTATAACCTATAATCCTATTTGCCTTGCCATGAGTAACAACACATTACTTGAATGCCTTAAGAGACTGATCAACCAGAACACTAAGATCTTTTATTTTCATAACACTCTCTATGTTATTTCTACCAAAATTATACTAATAATTCAATTTGTAATATTCCATGTGCATTCATTACCTTACATTTATTATAATTAATCGTCATATGCCATTTATTTGCCCAACTTACCAAATATTCTAAATCCTTTTGTAAAGCAGTAACGTCTTTTTCACAGCAGATTTAAATAATCTATTGATCTTTTTTTTTTTATCAATGTCATTTATGTAAATCAAAGAAAAATAGAGCAATGGTCCTAACACTGAGCCCTAAAGTACTCCACTTGTAACATTAATCTAGTTTGACTGAATTCCATTTGTAATAGCCCACTGCTTTCTTCCATACAACCAGTTTTCTATCAAGTGAGCCAACCTATCCCCCATGCCCACAGAGATAACCTTTTTAACAAGCATTTTATGTGGCACTTTGTCAAATGCTTTCTGAAAATTTAGATACATTAAATGCACACCCATACCCTCATCTAAAAAAGTAGTAACCTCTTCTAAGAATGAGAAAAGATTTGTAAGGCATAATGTTCCCTTAGTAAAGCCATGTTGGCAATTCAAAAAATTTAACTTTGTTAAATGACTTTGCAATGCATTTATTGATAGACATTTGAAAAACTTTTCCAACCATTGATGTAAGACTAATAGGCCTATAATTTCGGGGACTGTATTTATTAACAACCTTGAAAAGAGGAGTAACATTAACCAATGTTCTGGCACCTGCCCTTTATTCAAGGACTTAGAAAAATAGAAGCAAGTGACTCACATATCCAATCCTTAACCTCTACCAAAACACTTGGATAAATATTGTATGGCCCATGAAATTTATCATTCTTTAAACTTCCCAAATTTTTCGTAAGAAGCTTAGAATTGATGTGATCATCTTGTTTCCATCTAGCAACTGTTCAAATAAGAAATATTGCTTAAATCTTCATTAATAAAAACTAAAGAAAAATTAGAATTTAATTACCCAACTATTTCCTAATCATCAGATATTAACCTTCCTTTATCATCCCTCAAAGATCCTAAACCCATCCTAACATTTTGTTTACCCTTAATGTAGTTAAAAAATTCTTACTGTTAATTTTTACATTTTCAGCCAACCTTTTTTTTTGATATATTTTTTGATTTCATAATTTCCTGTTTGACCAACTCTCTTGGATCTTCTATAATACTTCAAATCTCTCATCATTGAAGTCATTTTAAACTTATATATGATTATATTATTCAATTTTTCCTTTATACTCTTTGTGAGCCAACCTGGTTTTCACTTGCAACCACTTTTTTTTTTTGTCTATGTGGGACATATCTACCTCGAATATTTAAATATTTAGTTTTAAAACTTTTCCCACATTTGATCAACTCCAACTAATTCAGTTGCTCAATTCACAGCAAATAATTAGTTTCATCTCATCAAAACTTTTGAAACTTGGAACCAAGATTTCATTATTCCTTATCTTCATAAACAGCAAGACATTACGTCTAATTAATTGAGCAATGATCTCTTGCACCCAGATGTTCCCCAATCACTACTCCATCAACCATTTCCTAGAGCTTCTAAGCTATAGAAAGTAGTCCAGTTTTGGATGCAACAGAAGAGAATGTTATGAATATATGTCTTTTTTTTTTCCTTTTAATAAAGCGGTTGTATGGTTTGAAATATTGACCATAACACAATATAGAGGTGAAAGACCTGTAAATTGGAGAAATACCTGGTAAATAGATTAATGTCTGTTGCCTCCAGTTCTTGGTAAAATCTGGTTATTATTATTCTTTGATTTTCACAACAAAGTAAGAATTGATTATTACCTTTATAATCGTGTGCTGGGTACAACAGGAAGTCGTCTGGTAGAGATAGAATCTGGGAATGTACAGACTCGTACAGTAACTCTGGGCTTCCTGTAAAATGATATGACTGCTTATGTAACAAAGGAACGAATAAAGCCGTAAGAAAAACATGAAATATCTTTATAATTAGAGTACAATACAGACATATTGTTACGTCTCTGTTCGTTTGGTTAATTTCCGGTATAAATTCTTTCCGAGGAACTTCAGCGATACAAGTCCTTTTTTTAAATAAAACTAGTTTATTCTTTCTCATACAACTTTGTAATACACAGAATTTCCACAGTCACTTTAACTTAACTACTTTTATAAACACATGCTA